GTGCTTTTTGAGACAATCTTGGGTAGTGTGCTTCAACAGCATATTGAGATGCCTTTTGACGATTGATTTAACCAAACCCCTTAAACAACATTGAAAGGAAATACAGTTCAAATAATAGTTATCGTTACAATTCAAGATTTATCAGCAACAAGATTTATGAGTCAGTAACTAAAAATATGTTAGGGGGATTGTTGTAACCAGGTTACTTGGGGACTAAATCGTCCATTTTGAATTTATAATGAGACACCTGGACACCTGGTGTGTCTATTTTTAGATGGTGAATCTTTGTCTCAGGTCTATAGTGAGAACTATGGTGTGAACATCTGGTGTGTCTATTTTTAGAATAATAAAAGGTCCCCCCGAACAGCCCTCCATACACAGTTTCAGTCACTACACCTAGTGATTACACATTGTGGATATACTACCAGTGTTCCTTTTGCAACCCTAGTGACTACAGTTACTGGGTGTAAAGCCATTCTTGGTTTAGACGTTGTACTGTGCGGACGTGTTGCCATTGGTCTGGGATATCATGGATGTGTGTGGACATTACCCACTCGACAAGACAATCGATTGCTGTGCAATCAAGACTGAATGGACTTCATTCCAGAAAAGACTCGATTCGTTTAAAGACTGGCCAGTGCAGATGAAACAGAGTCCTGGTCACATGGCTCAGGCAGGATTTGTGTACTTAATCAGAGGGACGCTTGCAAAGTGTTTTCAATGTGGTCTCGTTCTCAAGAACTGGGAAGTAGATGATGATCCTGGGCCGAACATGAAAAATGGTCTCCAGATTGTCCGTATTTGGCCCTGGTGGGAATACCTCGGAAAGAGGTGACCCGTTAGGTAGTCATGTGGATTTGCAACCAAGAGTGTGATGTAAAATGTGTGACTATTGGAAATAAATCAATGTTAAGAGTATGTCTGCCTTGGTTGTCTATGTATAGTATAAATAGAGGTTGACTCAAATACTAATCTCACTGAGATCCCATCCATGATAAGAGTTTGTTTGCTAGAAATAGTATGGCTAGGTACGTGTTGAAACATTACAAATTTTTAAGGTTCATGTTAATGTTTCAAGACATTGAGGAGATTCGACAAGACATCTTAGAAATGAACAGAGAACAGATTCTTGCCATCAATGGTATTATCAATAGGTTATTAAAGGGAAGATTACCAGTGAGTCTATATGAAAGGCGTCGTTTCCTGAGGAAAAATGATAGAAATAACTATCTAGCGGTGTTACGAAGATTAGTTCACCCCCTGTGGACGACAGACAGTAGGTGGAAGACTCTTTTTGCCAGTAACATGCCAATCGTAGCATTTGTTTTGAAACCACAGTTTGTCAATGCACTTAGAGATGAGGCCATTCAAAATGCCTGGTTGTATGATAGAGCATCGGCTTAGTATGTTTGGTACACCCGGTTTAGTTTGTCATAGTACTGCATCCGAACCATCCTGGCAGCGATGTTGAAAGCTACACCACGCCCAAGGTCAATGAAGATATCTATATAACAGGCCACAAGGGCTATCTAGCTTCATTTAGCCGTGGACCAGTGACAGTGACGCATCACCTCAGGCCGTTTTCATCATGAATAATCCACGATACAAACAAATGGACACGATTTTACATGCTCAGGGCTGAAGGGAAAGGAGACCCTTATCATTCTATAACACGTGGAGGAGAAAAATCTGCCATGTTGTCTGTCGATCGATATTTGGAACTGTATGATCCAGAGTGGAAGAAAGACAAACAAAAACCAGAAACCACAGAGCAACCTAAGATTAATTTCGTTACCCCTACTCAACAAGTGGTTGAACAAGCTAAAGCCAGGTTGAAGAGAGAAAGGGAAAGTGCCATCAATAGGGAAAACACAAAGCGAATGAAAACATATTTTTAAATAGAGACGAAAGGCTAAATGTATCATTTGTAGTAGGACTGTTGACGTGTGAACATCATTATGCATCCCTGTCCCATATGCTCCAAACAATATGTTTGGGCTCATGACTTGTCCCGTCATATTCGAACAAAACATCCAAAAGATATCAAGCAGCAGAAGCAGCAGCAGCAGCAGCCGTCACCACCACCACCACCACCACTACAGCAGCAGCAGCAGCAGCAGCCGTCACCACCACCACCACCACTACAGCAGCAGCAGCAGCAGCAGCAGCAGCAGCAGCAACAACCACATTCATCAGAAAGTATTACCCAGTCATTGGAAGAATGTAGATTGATTCACCCCTTCACCATGATCGTCTCAGGGCCAACCTCCTGTGGGAAAACCTACTTAGTGAAACAGATTCTAGAAAGGATGAACATTAAACCTTATCCTGAACGTATTATATGGCTCTACAAACGATGGCAGCCCTTGTATAATGCCATTCAAACCCATGTTTACCCTTATGTGGAATTTCATCAAGGCATTCCTTCTGATCTCGAAAAGGATGCATTTCTGGACCCCAGTGTGGTGAACGTGGTTATCCTCGATGACTTAATGTCGACAGCGAGCAAAGCCCCACGCATTACAGATCTGTTTACGGAAGGAAGTCATCATCGTAATCTCTCAGTGATCGCCTTGAACCAGAATTTGTATTTCAGTAAGGATCCCACACAACGAAGAAACTGTCATTATCTGCTTCTGTTCAACAACCCTATCGATCAACAACCCATCATGACTTTGGCGAGGCAAATGTATCCAGGTAACACAGACCATTTCATGGAGCCGTTTCAAAGGGCTACCCAGAAGCCTTATGGCTACTTGTTGGTTGATCTAAAACCCCAAACACCTCCCCATATGCGACTTTGTCCCAATGCATTCAGTTTAAAAGGGCACCTCCAAGCCAGGACAATTCAGTCCGAGTTAGATGTTCAGCGTGAGCAGACGTGTGAAGAAACCTCTCAACCATGCCATCTTGTGATGCCTGTGGACTCTGTGTTTTCAAGATGTGCAAGATTTGCAAAAACACAGAAGAAACTGGTGTCCCGAAAAGTCTGCAGTGGGTCCTCCTGGGATACCCCAAGTGAAAAGGCAGTGGGAGGAAGACAACAACTTCTCACCTGTGAAGAGACCACGTCCTCTGGTGGACTGTGACTATTGTGGTCAAGTGTTTAGCACTAACCATAACTTACAAAGACATTTACACGATAAACAATGTCCTGAAATGGAAAATGAGGACGATGATGTTGAATCATTAAGCGATGTCACACACAACAGGAAAAATAAGATGGTTGATCTTGAAGAGCAAGGTATAAGACAAATGTATTCACGTACGCGTGAGCTGAATAAAGACTTTTTGGATGAGAAACGACAGCTGTACATAAAAGAGGGTTTAAACGAAGACATGATTCAAGCCAAACTGAACAAATTGATCTGGAACACGTTTAAAGAGACGTATGCCCGATTTATTACTTATCTGTACCATATGCAGGATGGTCCAAAGACACAAGGAATACTGAAACGAGTAAAAGACACAAATAATATGTATCATGAAGTGATTTCAAAATTGTACCAATATAAGTCTTGGGTCGAAGGCATGACCGAAGATGAAGACATAACATCTGATGAAGAGAGTGAAGGACAGGTGGATGATGATGAAGGGTAATAAGACAACAGATGTAAAGTAGGCATTTGGGAGAGCTCCTATCCCAATGTCTACACATTTGAAACGGAGCTAATAAACAATGAAATCTGTATATCTCTCTTGTTTCTTAATGTATTGTACCTCTGGGTTAAAAGATAAACATTATGCACAGACCACCGCAATAGAGAACTGCTGAGAGTGTACTAAACTCACTGAATGTATTGCTGGAGGACTGACATAAGACAACTGTTGTACAATTCTTGGTTTTTATAATACCAATGTCAACCCTATTTCACCGAATCCACGTATTCCTAACCTCCTCATACTATTATCAGACATACAAGTTTCAGTTTAATCGTCATTCCTGTTGATTGAATACAAGATAACAACTGTTTCAGTTCATGGTATTGAAGATAGCAACTGTTACAGTTCATTGTATTGAATACAACAACAATTTTAATGATCTGTAATGAATATACATATATATATAAACGGTTTATAAATACATAAGCTATTACACTAGTGTTGTAAAGCCATTTTTGGTCTCCCAAGCCGTTTTGGACATGTAGCCGGTTTGGACATGTAGCCATTTTGAGTCAGAACCGTTTGCGAACCGGTTTGATAGACCCTTTTGCGATCCAGTTTGACAGAACCGGTTTTAGGCAGGGGCTGTTGGCGCCAAGCTTGAATGCTCTTTGTTCACTGCCATGTGCAGCCGGTATGTTGTGTTGTGCGTGTTTAGGTATTCTGGCGGTTTCATGACCGTTTAAAACAGCACAGTAGGTGTGGAATTTATGTGATGGATCATTCTCTATTCTAATTTGTGAGTATTTTGCGTATGAACGTATTGTGTGTGAATAATGTTGTTGACGACAGTATCGTGAGTACACATGTTAACAATGCGAGTACATGTACACACTAAAATTGGTTTTATGCAAGCTATAGTTTAGAAAAAACGATGAATCTAGGGAAAGGTTCTGATTATGATTGGACTGTGTTTATTGTGTTGAGATTTAAAGATTCATGGTAAACGGGAGTCATGTGTAATCAACTTTCTATCGGTCGTATCCTGTGTGTGTGTATCAGGCTGTGTTTATTCATGTGATTGTGTGTGAGGTTTTTAAAGTAGGCTCATGGCATATGTGAGTCATGTGTAATCAACTTTCTATAGGTTGTATTCTGTGTGTGTATCGGGCTGTATTTATTCATATGATTACGTGGGATTTTTAAAGTAAGTTCATGGTGACTCGTTCTACATGGGATATTTTGGTGAGAAGCATGCTGTGTGTGATTTCGCTATGAGTTTCAACATTTTACTCAGTTTTTTTCATCGGCGGGCATGGCTAGGACTTTGTTATTTGTTTAAATCTCTTTATTTATCATTTGTTTTCAAAATGGCGGCGGGGGACGCGATCTATGACCTGGTTTCTTCAATGGGCGTGAAGGCCGTCATGCTTCTCGGTTCATTGAACGTAGGGAGAGGCAATGTTATGGTAGAATGAACATGGCACACCTCACTCTCGAGGCGGTCGCAAATTAAAAGAAAGTATTAACATGGACACTCGGTAACATGTATTTGAAGTTATTTTATTTTTCACTCCATTATACGCTTGTTTTCTTAATCTTCATGCTTGGGTGGGATAGGGGATTCCCTTCCCGTAAACATAGCTTTGAATGGCTGTAGGTCGGACTTACGGGTGGGCAAATGAGTCATTCATTGTTGGAGTACAGTATGAATCAATCTGTTTCTTCACATGAATGGGTTACTTGTTCCAACCCCTCTAAACATCTAGATTTACCATCACTGTTTGCCTCAACAATGGATATGATGAACAGAGGTAAGTTGACTTCATGTACATTTTATCCCCAACACTCGTTCAATCTGATGATGTAAATCTTAATCTGTGTTACAATGTATTCTGTGTTACAATGTAAGGACTGAAGGTAGGACGTTGTATACATTTGAATTTCACATTTTAATAGTTACAGTTAGTCAGAAGGGAATTGATACTGTGATAACGGGCGCTCGCTTTGAGATAAAAGAGAAATACACTGGTAGTATAATGTGTAGTGACTCCATTGTATAATCCAAAGATGTTTTGTAATCCAGTGAGAAATATACACAATGTTTAATTACTCCAGAGATGTGTAGTTGAGAGGCTGAGCTATTGAAAATATATATCCAGTGAATCACACAGTATAATCCAAGGTTGTTTAGTAATCCAGTGCACACAGTATAATCCAATAAGACTGGTATGGAGTATATCCACAATGTGTAATCACTAGGTGTAGTGACTGAAACTGTGTATGGAGGGCTGTTCGGGGGGGACCTTTTATTATTCTAAAAATAGACACACCAGATGTTCACACCATAGTTCTCACTATAGACCTGAGACAAAGATTCACCATCTAAAAATAGACACACCAGGTGTCCAGGTGTCTCATTATAAATTCAAAATGGACGATTTAGTCCCCAAGTAACCTGGTTACAACAGGGGATGTTTAGTTAAGTTCCATGTGTCTACCTATATTTTTCGTGATTGTTTTGATCAACTCAGTCTTGGCATGGGTTCAATTGATGTACTGTCTGACAGTTGACAGACACCTGCAGGTGCAAAATAAGCAGTCCCCGAAGTTAGGTTGACAGACTACATGTATATAGCTTTATATATTCAGCCCTACCCAATAAATGCACGCTGTAAAATGTACTTTAAACGTCAACATTGCAACAAAATCAACATGTCAAATATGTCCGAATTGAGGAGAAAATACCCTCAGCGTGCAATGGGCACCCACATCTAAATCCGTTCAAGTTCAATGAAACGACACATAAATAGTGTGATTAAACACACCCTGCTTCCAGGTAAGCGACAACTCTCCGGTACACAGAAAGTCGCTCATACTGTTAATGTAGCAGCAGTACACATCTGTGTAAAACATAACAATGATATTTGTATCTCGTTTGTATTTCTATTTACCGACAATTTCTGTTTACCGACTAAAGCAGGACAGTATGTGTTACCAGCATCATTCATTGCACGTTACCGACATCCAGACTTTTGAGATACCGACATCCTCGCGTGTATACACGTGGAAGACTGCTAATTCGAAGGGAATAATCGCCAAGCGATCTTGTCTAACGCCATGTTGTGATGCTGGTAACGTGCGTTACCAGCATCACCTTATAGGTACAGTGAGATTGGCAACTGTCGAGGGAAGTAACACCTACGTTAATATTTCCACATGATGATGAGAATGTAGGACGTATGGATTAAGATGACAAAAAGTTCCATCTAGAGACATTGCCCGTACTCAGGCGTCGAACGCACTTAAGGCTCGAGCTTTTCACCAGCTAAAGTTTTCAGTGTTAATATGTTCTTTCTGCCGTGAAACATTTAGTTGCAACTACTATTCCTGGTAGAATCACCAAAAGGGGATATAGTGGGTATGACACTCTGTGTGTACAGCTTCCTCTGCACAAACAACATTCATTATCATAGGTATAATAGCATTGTGAAAATATTACGATGACCTGTAAATAATGAAACGAATCAGATCCGGTCAAACGCAAAAGAGAGCAGCAATCAATAACTCACTGCCTGTCAGGTTGTCCATTTGAACCAATCATTCCTCATCTTTCAGCCAAGATAATCATGGGGTCAGTCTTGTCAGGTATCATTTGTATATGGTATTAGATGTACTAGCAACTATTTCATTAATACGTGTATTTGGCTGACTTGAAACTTGATAGACATTGAAGGACACGGTGACATGTCTATTTAATTGTTTATATCTCCAAAACTTTTATTTCTTGGTATTTAACGTTTGTTTGTGCGCTCACACCTTCACATATGTTTTATATCTTCATGTATATTAACAGGGGGGCAATGGAAATTGTGTCGGCATTTTTTAATGGAATTGTAAAATGACTTGTTATTAATAATTTGATTATGTCTATGTAAGGTACGACCACTTTTCGCAACAGTTTGGAAACCGGAATCAGTGGGTAGGTAGTTTGAGTAAAGGTATATTGATGGAGTAGGAAAGGAATTGCAACCACATGATCCCCTTCCATGATTGAAATGAACATTTGTGCCGAAAAATAGCACATTCATTGATTTGCAAAGATAAGGTGGCTAGAAAGTATTGTTATACACAAATGGAGTCATATGTGCTAACAGAGTTTAATCCCAGATATAAATTTATGTCAATCACAATTAGTTGGCGCATCAAATGTTGTGCAAAAACTTGTCGCTTAACCTTCAGCCTGCTGAATAGATTTCAGTATAATATGGCGTTGTTAAAAGGGCGGGTGATTTCAAACAGTCGGTTTGTCACTAAATAAGGGACAACTGAAAAAATATTTCGCACATTAATACTAGACTTAAACACGAACATCATTATCCAAATCATCCTGATAATTTCAAACGTACAGAGGTTAATGGCAAGGCAAACATAAATAATGTAAATGTTCTTGAATTTACCGTCATTACTTGATTTTCAGTCAAATGCGTTTCATAACAGCAACCGAATAAATCGTTGAATTAGCGCAAACCGATTTCAATATTCCTATTTCCGATTTCTCATAATTATCTGACTTTAAGTTCGTATATTTGTATCGGCAAATATCGGCCGGACGACAAATTAAAAAACATTTCTGAAATAAGTATCGAAAACGTTTGTCGTAAACAAATCATATTTCGATGTCATCACGTTTTATGCAAATGATACTAATATGTTTATTCCAACATGTCATGTCATGAAAATGCAGAATAAAATACATGATTTATGAACAATCACGTATCCTAATTTCAAGTGTTATGGTTCATCATTTTCGACACAAACCCACAGAAAGCCGGTGTTGCATCGTCTTACACGTACGAAAAACAAACATGGCGCGCTTCGTCTAAACCCTACATAACATATTGCTATTTTCATGAAAACAGGACTTTCATGTATAAGCCCTGGCGAAAGAGGAAGAAATATCTCATTCTACAAGTGATTCATTTATCATTTTCAGTTTAATATGACGAGAGAAAGACGAAAATTAAGATCGCGAAATCTAACCTTGTTTTCTGGTAAGTGCAAAGGTCACCGGGTGTGATGTCACAGACAGGGATTGCCTGGTAAAATTCATTCGTTATTGAATAGTAACAGTAAATTTGGAGATATTTGCTCTGGCAAACCCAAATTTAACTGTTTAGAATGATTAATCATAGCTCATAGGACTTTTTGTGTGTGTTTTTTACTGTATAATTGGCACATCACGGAACCAGATTGACCTTATATGCTCCCGCGACCCGCAAAGAGTAGTCGATCAACATTCCAATATGCACTTTTCTCAGAATCTTTTATTTGAACTTTTGTCGATATTAGGACCATCACTTTATTCTAAACTGAATCTATCAATGCATTAGCATAGTGTTAAGGACCAATTTGCAATTACTGTCTTTCAGTTATGTGGAAAACTGACAATTTTACATATTTCTTTACTACAACTATACCATAAACTATATGGATAGATGTTTCATATTATTTTGTGTATTTTGTTTCTAAACAATATCTTGCTAAAATATACATCAAATACACATGCGTGATGAACTTTTTTGTTTTCAACAGTACCTCTTTGTTTTATGAATTATGTTCAATCACACAGAACTAATGTCATTTATGCTGTTGCAGTAACAGTATATTTACCAGACAAAGTTATCATTTAATAAAAACAGAGACCATATACATGCAATAAATTATATTGTCTCTGATGAAAGTCAATATGCCACATATTCCGTTAAAACTAAAGTAAATAAAAATTATCTTACCTTAGTATCTTTTCCTGTGTTTTGAAGCAATGACATTATATGAAATTAGTCTATTGAACTTTCAAGGTGAGGTGAGGTAAATTCGTGCTTGAGAATATTTCGCTCATATGGCGACCTTAAGGATTGTTGCTGTTTGCTGAAATGTCTGACAGTGATATACTCCTATTACTTAGTGTGTAAAATTGCCTCTGCCAGCATAACACAAGAAATGTCAATAACAGTCTTTGAATTACAAAATGCCAAAACCTGAGCACTCTTTCGTTAAGGACCTGTCAGTATTTGATATGTCTTTGCAATAATAAAATCAAAATTGCAATCTCAATGAGTTAGCTCCAAACTGGACAACAAAGAAACATCATTTATTGCAGAGCTCGACTTAGGGAAGGAAATCTATTTGTCCCTGGTGCCACCTTGCATGGTTACCTTGATGCCTCAGACAAACACAGGCTGCACTCCCTGCTCAACATACAAGTATCTGTTTTAACCTTCATGGGTATCGGTTGTTTTATCTGTAAATATTCATTGAGACAATGAACGAAATACCAGATACCACTCCCGTTGTGGACCTGATACCTGGCAATCACACTGTAGTATATACAGTCTCGATGAATTAGT